ATTATTATTATTATTATTATTAAATTCAAATGGCAAGGTAGAACTGGATTTCTGGGGTTTATTTGTACCAAACTGGAAAGGTTTGTCTTTTGTTATGATAAATCTTGTTCTCTCGGAAGAGTTACAGAATTTACTGACACCGCCCTTCCGTTGGCTTTGAAGGATATTATCCAGGTCAGTGTTTCTATAATGTGTTGGGCTGCTGACTTTACTTTCATCTTTCCTGATCATTTTTCCACTTTATTCAAATGGTTTCTAGTTTTCATAGCTGCTTCTTATTTGGGGTCACAATCGGAAACAATCTGTCTATATCCATTTATACATTGGTCCTCTTCTATTACCAGAAAAATCTTAAAATCAGGTCATGAATAAATAAGTCTTCATACATCAACTTTGCATCACTCAAGGAGCATCTCCCACTGATCTCTTTTCGCTAATGAAGAGTCTTCTACTGTATTGTAACTTCTATCTTTACAATTAAAATTCTCACAAAGTTTGTATTTCTGGCTGAGCAATTTTCTCACCATTATTTCTGAATTGAAGCTACTTTCTCTTCAGCTTATTAATACATTCCTGACTATTTCATTAAGCAACTCAGCTGCTGGCTATCCAAGGCCTACCTTACTTACATAAACGTATACAGATGCCCTTAACCAAGAACTCCTCCAACCGTCTAACTATTGAAACAACCCACAATTCAAGCCAACACATCTCTCACCTTCTTTATATGTTTTCTACTTCTGCATTGGTGGTTTGAGGTCCCAATTGGTTCTTTTTGGGGGTCCTAGCCTCCATGTCGGATGGCAAGCAGTTTAACCCTCAGCTTAAGTGTGTTAAGCCAAATTTTATTATGACTATAGCACTTCATAAACTTTCAGTATGCTTACTCAGTTCAAGAGAAGATAAGCCTTAAAACCTGTTAATTAGTTAACAACAGAGGTCTGAATACATTACATAAAGATGGTTGATTGGATATGAAGGTAACATGTGTAGCAGCAATGCTTGTTAATAAGACAGAATTAATTGTTGCTGTGCTTTCCCAAATGAGGCCCCATCTCTCT